AGCTGCTCCTTTCATTATACAGCCGGAATCAGAAGTACAGTTATCCAAACTCTTCTGCATATATGCATGAATATAACTTTTTCTCTTTTTTCTTTCATCCTTTTCCTCATCTGAGACTTTTTTCCTATTGAGCAGGTTCTTTCCCTCCCGCAGTATCTGTTGTTCCTTTCAGATTTTATTTGCTCCTTCAGTTCCTCACACTAATGAGACAATATGACGTTTGCGCATGTGGGTATGATTTACTTCACTTCCCAATACAGCCTTGTGTGCCTCTTATTTTCTGAGGGCTCCTTCATTTATTTATTTTCTTTTTTATGGATAGTTTTTAAATTTTTAAAATTTTAATCAGTACCTATTTATAGTACATAACAATGAGATCCACTGTAGGAAGTTGGTACATGTGCAGTGCATATTTCAACGCTATTTCCCCTTCCCTTTACTTCCCCCTTCTTTTTCCACCATCAGAATTGTTTATCTTATAAGACCTTATAAAGTTAATTGTCATATTTACAGATTGAACACCAGACTAATGGGGCAGAGCACATATAAAATACATGACAATGGTCCTAAGTGAAGGTGCTTTTAGATACATTGCCTACACTGGATTACAATAACTTTTTTCTCTCTTTTATTTCCTCTTACCTGTCTCTTAATTTGTGCTTTCTGTACATACTTAGCTGTTCATATGAAAGAAACCATGCAATATTTAAGCTTGTGTCTGAGATATTTCACTTAACATTATGAGCTCATGGTGCATCCACTTTCCTACAAATGACTCAAATTTATCTTTCTTTATAGCACTGGGTGTAAATACAATACTTTCTTTATCCATTCATCTGTTGATGGATGTATAGGCTGTTTATCTTGCTGCATATGAGAGACCTTTAAAATCAAGGAGAAGCACTACAATAACATTTCTTATAAATTTACTAGGGTCAGGGGACGATCCAAAAGATTGAAAGTTATTGTGTATAGGGAGAGAAAAAAATCAGGAATTGATGGAGGTATGATTGAGAAATAATTCATGCACAAGACATCAAAGCCATCAATGAGCGAAAAGAAGCTTTCAAGAGATTGGAAAAATGAATAACCTGGGAAAGAGTAGAAAAAAATAACTATTAGGAAATGATGCCATCAATGAAATGTGTTTCATAGAGTAAGAGAAGACTAATGGCTTCTACAGGGCCAGCCAGGGGGAACAAAGTCTGTCCGTCCAACCTAGAAGCAAGTTAATCAGCATGAGATGTAAAAAAAAGAATCAGCCTCTTTTCTTCTCTTTTTTTTGGGGTGGGGGAGGCCTGGGGGCTGTGCAGGTAAGGCAAGAACTCTACCACCAAGCCACATCCCAGCCCAACATGCTCCATTTTTAAAATTTACTATAAAAAAAAAATAGGAAGAAGCAAGTTTTATTTGCTAACAAGAAGATGAGCATCCGGTCAAAGGAAGCAGGGATCAGTAAAGGAGTCGGTGCTGTAAGGCACAGTGTGTGAGTTCAGAGGGAGAAGCAGAAAGGAGAAACTGGGATGGGGCCTGGCTTCTGAACGTTGTTCAGGATGAGTGGAAAGACAGAGGACAGCTACAAGAGTTTACATGTTGGGTTAATTAGAGGGAAAGCTGTCTTAAGTGTTCTAAATTCCAAAAGTTTTGATGGATGGTAGACACTGGGTAAATAGTGCTGGTGCAGGCTTGGGTAGTCCCCTTCTCCTTTTGATTGATTTAAAGCAACAACAACAACAACAGTCCATGCAGTGGCAGCAATAAACAGATCCAGAGAAACAGCCACATGGTCCCACACAAAAGTACGAGGGAGAGACTTTGAACAATGAGAAACATGAACAGCAAATGCATCACCCCTCTTAGGGTCAGAACTGCAGGGCATGTGTGGCGTGGTTCAGCTGTACAGCCTCACTGCTAGCAGTCATTCTCTCTGTAGCTTATCTACATTAATAGTCTGCCACTCTTTCAAGATGTCTTCCTTCCTCCGTGACCTCCTCCTTCACCTCCCATCTAATCCATAACGCAGTCTTCTGAATTCGTGTCTTCGTCTATCTTCCTAGCTCTTTGCTTCTCTTTATTCTCACAGCTACTGCTATCACTACCCACCTCGAAAACTGCAAAGCCCTCAGCATGCATTTATTGGGCACCTAGTAGACATCATGTATTTCCTGGGGCCTTCAGTGGGATGTCTATGAGGCGCTGGATCCTGAGTAGAGGCAGGAAAGCAGTTAAGAATTCAGGAATTAATAACCAGGGTTTCAAAGTCTTGTGATTCTAGCTGCTAGAAATGGGAAGTGGAGGAGCTTGGGAGATAGACAGTAAAGGAAGGGAAAAGTCATCTTTTTAGGGTTTTCAGTGTACCATCTACAGATTGCCACATATAAGCAAATGTGTGCAAATGCTTACTCACCAGCCTCCCCCAGAACATCCTTTCTTTGATTTGCCAAGTTAAAGGAGGAAGAAGAATAGCTTTGTGCTGAAATCTAGCAGATGTTAAGCATATTTTACCTGGTTGCCTCCAAATTGGACATAAACTAATCAATTAAAAAAAACTCCTACACAGTCCTTAATAAAATATCACTAATTTTTACTTCACCAACAAATTTATATTCCAAGCAAAATTAAATTAATAGATGAAATACAGAGTAGTATTCATTGAAAACAAATTTTGTCATTGGCAAACCACATATGTGGCATCAATTTCATAGTAAGGAAGGCAAAATCTCTCTCAAGAACTTGCCTAAAACATGGAGAAATAGCAACCACCACTGAGAAGCGATGTAATCATTCTTCCTGGGGTCACAGTCAGGCACAGTGACCTTTACGTTAGAATGGAGTTTCTTGTGCAAGTAGAGTCCCAAACAGACTCACTTATTCACCCATGTATTCATCTGCTCATTGTACCGTTGTTAGTGAATAACCGTGATGGGTTGGGCACCAACAGAAGTACAGGGATGAGCAAAGCCCAGTCCCAAGATCTACTAATCCACGAGAACATAGCATGAGAAACTGCAGGTGAAGTATACAAAGTGCCCCAAAGTGAGTCTCTGCAAGCTTGCATGACATTGGGTCGTTTTGACCTACAGAAGTAGGAAAAAGATGCCAAGGATACCACAGGAAGTTCTACAGTGATTACACGCTGTTCTCCTGCACCTGAATCGTAGAAGTCATAAAAGTGGACTGACAATCTGGAATGAATAGCATTCATTTCTAAACTGTGGCTCCAACACCAGCCTGTTCAATTTGCCCCTCCCTCTGGAGAATCTAGATCAGTTTCTGGAACCCAGTGGTGACCCGGTGTCTGTTCACTGCTAGAATGAATTCGGGAGTCAACAAGAACACATCCAAAGTTTGCAGGCTACATTCGGATACTGTTTTGCAGAAATGAAAGAAATATCTTTGCTAAACACGGCTGGGAGTTTCTTTTCAACACTGCAATTTGTGTAAACTGTAAAAGTGTGTTATAAATCCTTGTTTCCATTTAGAGTGTAGTCAAAATAATAGAACGGAGCAGGGGGCACGGTCTGGTCTGATCCAGCTCCTCCAAAGTATATGATGGTACCAACACTTTACACCTGTCTGAGCGCATTTCTTCAAATTGAAATAAAACCTGTCTCACATTCCTTGTTGGGCTTTGTAAAGACTCAGCCCCACAGTGTACGTGTGTGTCCTATATCAGCTGTAATTCTAGAATTATAAATTCATATTGAAATTAAATTTTGAAGCTTTAAATATCACAAGAATGGTTTCAAAAATCAGTTGACTGGGCACGCCTTGCTGGCCCCAAAACCCGGCATGGTGGCGCACACCTGTAATCCCAGCACTGGGGAGGCTGAGACAGGAGGATCACTACGAGTCTGAACTGTATCCAATAAATAAATATCTTAGAAAAGGAAGTTCAAAAAGCGGTTGAGGGGGCCTGCCCCTTAGCTCAGTTCTTTAAGTGGCTGCTTCAACAAAGCAGTCAGGTTCAGGTTGCTGTGGTTTGATCCCCACAACTCAAGCCAGCCAAACCTGCCCTGAAGGCATTCGGAGAAAAAAAAAAAAAAAAGCAGTAGATTAAACAATTTTGTATTTTGTTGTTGTGATTTTTTAAACAATTTGTTCTCTCTGTCTCCATAGTGCAGTGCCTGGGGATGACCACCAAACGGAAGATCATCGGCCGCTTGGTGCCGTGCCGGTGCTTCCGGGGTGAAGAAGAGATCATCTCGGTGTTAGACTACTCCCACTGCAGCCTGCAGCAGGTGCCAAAGGAGGTCTTTAACTTCGAGCGAACTCTAGAGGAGCTTTATCTGGATGCTAATCAAATTGAAGAGCTACCCAAGGTAATTCCTGAGAGCCTAGAGAACGCAGTCGAGGCGGATTTCCCCATGTCCAGAGCATCTGCAGCGCGATAGCGTTAACTGTAGCCTTCTCTGTGGGTAATTGGCGAGTCGCTTGAATTGCTGTAACTTCCCTCAATATTCTTGTCAAATTTTAATGTGATTCCATTTGTCATTTCATGCGTTATAGTGATAACAAACCAAAGAAAATCATTTTATGGATCATACCTTGTTATTTTAAAGTGGCCTCTATAAAAATACAGATTGCAAGGTTGAGATAGATAATGTTTAGAAAAACAAAGGAAAAATATGGCATTTTCCTAGAACTTGAAATCAATATGTTACCTGTTAAAGTGATGTTTTAATATTTTATACTATACATTTTAAATCTGAGAAATGCTTTTACACAAACACATGCATATATAGTTAAAGCTTAATAAAAACATTTTGTTCTTGGATTTAAATATTTGATTATTAAAAATATCACTAAATTTATGTGACATATAGCTAATAAAATAGTTTATCAAAGGTTTAAATGATCAAAATTCACACATATATGCATTGTCATTGTAGCACCGCAAGGAAAACCAGCTCTTCCATGATCCTCTTCTCGATTACAGGGAAGGCAGGATGATAAAATATGACCTTAAGTAGATCATAGTCACTCAGGAGAAAGGTCCGATCTGATCGGGTGCATCTGAACAGTCACTTCAATAAGCCCCTTAGTCTAAGTAGCCAGTATGACATTTACCTGTGAAGGCCTTGAATTGAGAGGACAAAATGATATCATATAACATTTCTATTGCTTTTGCTTTTAAAAGAAGTGTTTAAAATAATCAGGAATAAGAAAAGAATCTTGGACAATAAAAACTGGAGCTTCGTCATTATGGAAATCTAAGATTTCAATGTGCTGACCGAAACAAGTGATGAATAATTCATTTCCCTTAGGATCGTAAATCATAGTGTTGACATAATGCTTGAAAATTAGGAACTACTTAATGTGTAATTCAGAAACAATATTAGTCATTTTTGACACCTTGCGGGTCTTTTCTCCATGGAGCCGTGTCAAATCTCTTGCGTTCATGATGTCAATATTAGCACTGACATCAAGAAAGGCTGGGCTGGAGTGAGCTCTCCCCACCAGAATAGGAAATTTTGGGGTGGGTTTGACACCTCATTTGTCCCAGCTTCTGTGGACACAGACATTCATGGTGACTTTCAAATAATGGACACTCTTTTCTACTGGTGCCAGGTGGGGAGCACTAGCGAAAGTTTCACGTACAGTATGACCTGATAAACAAAACCATGTAAGGCTAAACCAATCACTACTGTGGTATTTTGGTCTAATTTAGAAAAATAGGTACAACTGCTTGTATCTCAGGTCAGAGTAGTGTAGTATTGCCGCATAAAGTACAGCAGAGCAAATTAAGTTTGAATTGTGGATTAAAAATAGACAATTTTATGTCCCCCCAAAAATGAATGCGGTATATTTATACTTTTTTCAGAAAAAGCTTTTTTACTTACACAAAATTCAAGTGTGAGTATTTCATATTTTATTTGCAAAATCAATTTTGTCTTAACTCAAATTCTTTTTCTAAATCCATGAAACATATTTTGTAGGATAAATAGTAAAATCATGCTCACCTAACTAAATGAATGTTTAATATCTGTCTACTATGCTCTACAGTACTTGAGGCTTTGGGGATGTCACAACAGACATAAATATCAATTTCTGCTCTTGAGGACTTCGCAGCTAAATTTCAGAGAAAATTCAGAGCATTAGAGGCCAGTGCTCAGGAACACACGATCAAAGCTAAAGAGCCAGAGGAAGTGGAGGAGTTCATGTGTAGAAGAACGAACAGTTCTTGGGGAAGAGAGGAAAGGGCTCAACCAACAAACACTGGTGCAGAACTCAAGTGGTGCATATGGCTGGGAGGAGCAGAGTTGTAGTTGCAAGGGGCAGGTGTGTTGGTGAGTGCTAACAATACTCAGAGAGCAGATGAAGGATCCAGATGAGGGCAGGTCTTAAAAGCTGCTTCTTATTGCTAGATTCAGAATATTAATGAGATGCCACCAATGGAGATTCTTACACATCACGTAAGAGTCAGGAGCCTTATAAGTAACCTTGGAACATAAATCTTAAGATCCTTTGTTTGGTTAGTTATAACAGTGAATTAGTAATAAATAAAAATATATGTGCAATGGTCCATATATTTTCCCAATATGTTATTAGTAAGGAGATACCTTTAATTATATTTTTATGCTCATGCTTTATCTACTTAAGTTAGTTCTAAAACATGGGTGTCCAACCTCATGGCTTGCCTAAGCCAGACTTGGTAAAGAAGAATTGTCTTGAACCATCTAGGAAGTGTGTGTGTGTGTGTGTGTGTGTGTGTGTGTGTGTGTAACAAAAGTTGTTTGTATACTACTTAACATTAAAATCAAATACTACAAAAACCCAAAATACATTAATTAAATAAGAAGGCAATTGTGTGCTTAAGTGCCTGCCAGTCTTTATAGACACACATAGTGCAGGATGATTGTAATACTATTATTGGTCATCACTGTACTTTACTCATTGAGTCACAGAAATGTGTACAATATTTGGTAAACATGGATTTCCACTCGTCTAACTGTGGTGGCACCAGATGCAGAGTTAGTGTTGTGCCTTTCTTTACCCCGAATTCTCCTTTTGCCTGTGCAGGGCAGGTACCATGAAACACAGTAATGAAAAACATAAAAAAGAATATAATAATGTTAAAAATTTATGATCTTGTAGGCCCGCATCACTAGCCTCCAGGGCTGTAGGTTGCATGTCTATTCTAAAGTCTCTGTTGTATTGAGGGATGATATAAATTATGCAACAGTTGAGATATGGTAGCAGTAGGACCTGGTTATATTTGTGCATTTCAAAATTAAAAAACAAAATGAATGATTATCAGTTGTGTTGCATTATATATCTCAAGCAATAGAAAAGATAATTCAAACTGAATTGTAAAAGAAAGAGGCTTGTTTGGCTCCCATAAAGTAAGGTCCATCTCAGGTCAGGATTCAGAATTGATCTGTGTCGCTAGCCTGGTGTAGAGTCTCTCTTCCTCTGAAGCTGGCTTCTCAGATGGTAACAACATGAATGCACCACTTCTGGAGTCCATTTTCTTAGATACCAGAAAGAGAAAAACCAGCCCCTGAAAACTCTTTCTGAAAAGGAAAAAGTGCCTTCCCTCAGAATTCCTCAATGAATTATCCTGGGATCTCATTGGTGTGAACAGTATCATAAATGCATTTCTGTTCCCATTACATTGTAGTTGATTACAAACAAACTACTATGGCAAGAAATACTGGATTATCCACATTTGATTACTTAAAAATGAACCGCTGAGTAGAGATGCAATTCATGGCGGCAATACAGGGAAAGTGCTAGAAAGAATTTCGGGGAAATTAATACAACGTACACTACCAATAAACAATTACAAAATGATTGTTTTAGGAGGAATTTTTGCTCTTAATGATTATATATAATGTTTTCAAAGACTTGTAGTAAAAGTAGTGACCTCTTTGAGGAATTAAATCATAAACATTGATTAAACATTTGCTCTGCCACCTTATTTTTTCATTTGTAGATTTTTTGGATCCTTCTGTGTGCTAGGCAGTCTTAATTGTCGACTTGATTAAGAGATAACAGAAATTAATCCAACATGTGTGCTGTTGGAAGGTAGAGGAGGCAGTCACGGGAGGCATGCCTTCAGAGGGCGAGTCTCCTGTTGGTGCTCATTCCCCAGACTTTCCTTCTTAACCACTGTGACGTGAGCTGCTTTGCTACACCATGCTCTTCTGCCATGATGCTTATGCCTTGGAACCAGCCAAATATACACCAAGAACTCTGAAAAACCAAGTCAAATCAAACCTCTTTTCTTTTAAGTTATGCATACGGAGGCTTTCTCCCAGCAACAGGAAAACTTGTCAATATAAATAAAATTGATGACAGAGATACAGGATCATTGCTGTGACTAGGCATGATCATCTACTCAGAAGCTTTTGGAACTAGTTTCTAGGAGGAGTTTGAAAAATGTGCAGAGGCAACAATTGATGGGGAATGCTGGTCACAGTTCAGAAGGCCAGAATGCTGATAAGAATGTGGATAGGAAAGCCCAGGCTCGTGGGGATTCATGGGAATGAGTATTTGAAACTAGACTGGAGGGCATACAAGGCACATGCTGAAAAAGAATTTGTCTGTGTTTTGCTCATGCCCTAAACTTCTCTGAGGTGGGGTTTTACAGTGACAGAATAGTTGATCTGATAGAGGAAATTCCAATGCAACTAAATGCTAAGGGTATAAATTAGATATTGATAACTATTTGTAACCAGATTTATAGTGAAAATTAGTAGAAAAACTCAGAACAGAAACATTTAAAACTTAAATTTTGGCAACCTAACATTGTATTTGGGTGCATAAAATACGACCCTTGGGTACTCCAAGTGTAAAGTTAGACCCAAAGGAGGCATAATTACTAATGAATTTAGGAACAGTAGAAAGAAACACCATACTTTGCACAGAGTCAAGAAGAAAGATCCCTTGAGGGCATCTCACAGATCAGCAAACCTGAGAATGCAAAACTGTAAAGCTTTCATTTGAGAAGTGAGCCCCCAGGCTGCTTCTTGAGAAGGGCCACCTAAGGAATTGGCTCTGGGATGCATTTTACCTAGCTAAGCCACCCCAAAACTCAGAAAACACTGAGACCATGGCGAAGAGAAACTGGTCACTGAGCTGGTGGCAGACCTTGATGTCATCCACATGATGCTGGTTCTCCAGGCGCACATGGTGCAGGCATTGTTGGATCATGGAGTCTTTCAACAAGATTTCAAATGAAGGCCTGATCATCCATGAAATATTACCCTGAAAGGTGGACACAGGAAACTCAGGATGAATTCAAAAGTGGAGGACAGAACCCTGGATATTGGATATACCAGGAAAGTGGAATGCCTGCTAAGGAAAACTGCATTAA